AAAGTCATGTGCCTGTTCCACTGGAATCCACTCAATTTTCGATCGTCTTCATCTTGTGTCATCGATATTTTCTTTTTCAGTTTTTCACTCACGTCGGCTGGAAATCGATGTTTTTCCTCTTCCATCTTTCTTTTTATTTTTTTTATGTCCAGAAATCTTTTGACTCTTGATTCCAATTGAGTTTTCTGAAATTTTCTTCTTCTTGCCTGAAACTTTCTTAGTTGTCGCCGGAAAGAAACCACTGAATGAATTCCTGAAACAATCACTCACATTCGGCATCCGTGAATTCGCAAGACTTAACATAATTAATTACATTGTGTTGCTTACTTAAGCAAGTAACTAAACAATCAGTCTTAGTTATAACACTGTATCAAGAGTTGATAGCATTAACAGAAGAAGACTCCTTTTAAAGTCAATAAATGACCGCGACTTCAATTAGTTTAAAGATAATTACAACCTATGTACAATTTACGTGCAGCAAAAATTCCATAGTTCCTAGAGATATTCAAGCATAGTATGAAGGTTTCAAATTGGTTCAAAAAACCAATGAAGGTTTTTTTTTGTTCAGTTCTGGTCGTAGAAAACAATTTCGAGAAAGGGCAAATTTTATATCGTCGTTTTTGTACTCAGTGCTGCACCAAGTCGACAGAGTTTGAAGGTATAGTTTTTGATTACCCAATGGGAGTATTGATTGCTTTTCCCGAGTTCTCCTTTGCCTCTCTGCCTCTGGGTTGCCTCCGGGTTGCATCTTCTTCTTTGCATCTCAAACTTTCGTTCATACCCCCCTTCTTTATTATCAATATGTCACAAGTGTAGTCGAAAGTTTTTGGTCCCTTTTGCTTCGCATGTGTTAACTTCTATTGAGTTGTTAGTAGTATTAGTATTATGGACTGCTTTTAATGTCTTAAATCCTACCATCCTAACTACGGCGTGTTCCTCGAATTCTTCTTTTTTCAACGTTTCCGCTTTTAATTGGTGAAGTTTTTTTATGACCTTTCAATGTGTTTGTTTTCGAACGGTAGAAAACATATTTTTTCACTTTTCCGGATCGCAGAATCCGTTTTTGTATGGTACAGATCTTTCGTATGACTCCTCCAATTTGAAAAACTTGGGACCCTAACAGATTAGCGTTTTCGAGACCCTTCCGAAGTTTTGATTACTCTTCTTGACTGGTGTTTTCGGGACCTTTCAGACTTGCCCTGTGTGGGAGTTTTGCGGATTGGTGAAATTTTGATCTTTCCGTGTTGACGAATTGGAGACCCTTTTAGACTGGCACAATCGGGACTTTTCCGGATTGATGAAACCGGGAGCCTTACGGATTGTATTTAGCGAGACCTCTCCGGAAAGACTTTTTCCGGATTGATGAGGGTGGGACCCTTCCAGATTGGCGAAGCTTTTTTCACGACTATTTCAGCAGGCTTCCGGTTGCGTTTTTCTAGCTCTTAAAAACAAAACAAGATGGTAGGGGTGTACTAGTGCTTCATGAACTCATCTTATTTCATAGTAAATTCCTAATTTTTCAAGTTTTCAGTGGCCTAAAGGCCATTCAGGGTCCCATACATAGTCTGATTGCTCTGCTAGTACAGTTTCATTATCTGTACTTTGTGGAAGATCAATATTGTGACTAAAATAATCGATTATGAACCTTGCTAAAATTTTTTGTAAAACGTGTTTAACATTTTGTGTTATTTGATCATTTGTTAGGTTTTCTCGAATTGCACTTAAAATTTTTGAAAATAAGTGTATTTCCTGTCGTACAACTGTATGTCGAGATGTTTGAGTAGGTGAATCGCTTTGAGGTTCATCCAACTCTTATATAGATATACAGCTATAGATAAGTGAGAATACGCCGTTTGTAAATATCGAGTTTGCTCTTTATGAGTTTTGGTGTTGTATGTTTTTGATATTTTGTGTAAGAACTTTTGAGAATTCAATATCTACATCGTCAGTTTGAATGAGATATCTGTTATGAGATGCAATTGGTGATATGATTTCTATTGTGTAGATTCCCAAGTGTGATGTGAGACTACATATGCCTTTGAGATAGTGATCGAGAAGTTGGCTTTATACTTTTACATCTGGAAATTTTTTTGTGCATGGACTTTCTCCTTTTTCAAATTAATTTGCAATTAAGTTTTTACAAAATTCTCTTTGTCCGCGAGGATCAGATAGTGGTGATATTAAAAATGGAAGTACTGAGAGTTTTCTGAGTTATCTTCATTTTGAATCCTTTTTGTGTTGTATTACTGTTAATGTGTAGTTTTCAATGTGTCTTATTGGTTGATTCCAATTTTACAAACGTATTGGTTTGTTTGTGTAGCAATTTTTTATTTTCCGTTTGCCTTTTACTGATGATTGTGATGTGGTTTCTGAATCTGTGAAATATAACTGATCGTCTATTTGGTGATTTTTGTTTATTGAGTCTTTTAAATGATGAAGTTCGTGTATTGCGCTTATTTCTGATTCTGAGAATGCGTTTCCTCGATTTGAGAATCTTTTCCTAATAATTTGTTTTTGTTTGTTTATTATCTTTTTTCTTAGTGTTTTTATTTTTGTTCTTATATATCTTTTTGATGGTCTGTGTGGTGTGATTGTGAGGTCGTATTTCTCGTCGTTAATTAAACAATTGTGTATTATGATTGTTTACTTGTTTCCTAAATTGTCTCTTGACATAAGCTTTAGGATGATGGATGCACAATCTGGATTAATGTTTCTAATGCCTTAAACTGTTAGTTCTTACCATTTTTTGTGGTTAGCTTAACTTGAGTCGTTTATTTGGGTTGGGAAGAAAGCGTATTTCGATTCCGAGGAATGGATTGTACTTTCTAGTGGCTAATTCTAAGCTAAGACTTGACCTACTTAGTCTTACTTAGGGGTTATGATTTGTGATCAAGGGTTGGAGAATAGTAAGCCGATCCACAAGGTTCAGGTATAATTAGAACGCAAGTAGTTCGTTAGATACTATTTTATGACTTACTAAGTTTAAGTGTTTTAGCCTGGGTCATCTAAGAGGAGTGGGATCAAGTGAAGGATTAGTAACCAAAGTTCTTCACTGTTTAGCTTTATTAAAATTGTAAGTTTTTCGAAAAATTTCCGTTAATTCTGGGTCTTTTGATAAGGGTTGGATAGTGAATCGACGTTTGAGGTCGTTAGACACTAAGTAAAATTGGAGAGGGAGAACAAAATTGTTCTATTTGATCCAAGGATAGGCCTTGATGATCAGAGATTTAAATATTTAGAATTTTTAATTTTAGGATTCAAATTTAAATGTTAAATTTCTAAGATTTAAATTGAAATTAAAGATCCAAGGGAAGCCTTGATGATCTGTTATTTAAATGAAACTAATTTAAGTGAAAGTAAAGATAAGCCTTGATATTTTAAAAATAGAGCGTTAAAGTCAGGTGTTAGTTTCTGATGATTGTTAATTTTTTGAAATTCGCTGTTATGTTCTAGGTGATGAAGCTGGGATGATATGTTGATTTATAATACTATTAATTTTATAATTTATACTAACTATCTTTTGTAGTTTTATTTCATTAAAAATTTTCAAAATGTTATTCACTTTACAGCTGGTTTAAGTTAAACGACAAGTGCTGTTTTTATCAGTCGTTTTTGTACAGTTATTAGATTTAGCGCCAAGAAAAGTTATTTGAAAGTATTTTTCATTTCAAATATTATGTCAGTAAATGTAAATTTAAATTTACTGCTGGTAGTATTCTAAATACAAAAGTTTGATCTCGTTTTTGTTGTACTATCATGAAAACAATTGGTAGATTTCTTCCTAGTCGTATGACGTTTCTTGTTCGACGTATTCTTCCAATACCGGGTAGTTCTCGTATTGTTCGGAATATTGGATCTGATCTTTTGATGCGTAGATATATATCTACTAAGTTTTTGTCGTATAACATTTTTATGAATGTTGTATTTGTCTATTTCTAATCTAATTTTTGTCTAATGCTAGGTTAGTTAAGGTCTGTTCGAGACTCTTAGTCGCACCAGATGAGTTATGTATAGGTTACTGTACTCATAGAGTAATTTCAGTTAAAGCTCGTCGCGCTATCTTATTTTCGGCCGAATAGATTCGTGCAACTTCTTTGTCTAATACCGATCTTAATCTTACTCTTGCATCTCCTTGTCTCAAATAGATCTAGTGTACACCGGTTTAGGCGAGTTAGTTCCAGAATGCGAACAACTGTATTCTAAGTTGAGAAAGTTGAGAATTAAATCTGACACTTCTTTCTAGCCTAAACTTTTTGTCTGTTTCTATAAGTAACGTTCTTAATTGCTATTTTCGACTTATCGTGCAATCTCGTTTTGAATAAAAGCAGGCTACATTATGTTGCCCTGTCGTCTTGGCTAGTGGCGAGCATAGACGCTTGGTAGTCCAAAGATTTCCGGAGCGATACTCATAAGCAGTGAAGTTTTATAAAAATGTCATTTTAAAAAACCACCCAAAGCATATATATTCCTTTTTTTCTTCGAAAACTGGAACAAAAACCGTCAAAAACTGTTATTACCAATCGATTGCCGATGCATCTAATTCAATATGTAGGAAAACTTTAAGCCGAAAAAGTTTTCACTCTTAATACATAACTTGTCGATGTTTTCGCTTGAAATTGTGGGTAAATAATTAGCAAAAACACATAATGTCCTCTTCTCGTTTAGCGTCCAATTTGTTCAGCTTCTCGCAAAATGTGTTCAGTTTGTTTGGTTTGCTCATTATTTAGTTAAGTACCTGGAGCAGACCCCTCCCTCTGTCATTTAATTTTTATACGATGATGAAACCTCTTTATACGAAAAAAGAAACCTCCTCTCACAATTTCAGAATCCTTGTTATAGAAGTCATGGTCGACAGGTAAACAATTCATGTGAGAAAACAGTTACAGAGGAGATATTTAGTAGTATTAGAAGTCAATCTGCCTCAGGGCAGCCAAACCACGTCAGAACTGACCCTTTTCTCTGTCTAATGAGCAGACTAATTGCGTCTTTCGATTGTTTAGTCGCAACTTCTGTCTCATGCGGTTCTGGCTGGGAGTGCGCCAGAGTAGCAGAATTGGCCAGTCGGATGACGGACACCAGTTCGAACAACTCATCAGACCCTACTACTCTGAGCTCAACTGGTACTCCTACAGAGAAGACGAGGAAGGCATGTACTGTACTTTTGAATTAAAATATTGAATTTCATATTGCTACATAGTGGAAAATGGAGTCACCATGAACGCTTGTGCTAGAAAAAACTCGGGAGCAGGGAGGGGGATGCTTGGATCGGAACGCTTGGAAAAGTTAAAGATGAGCATTAAAAAACTTTAGTTTGTGTTTAATTCTATTTCAATCTAGCTTCTCGAGGCCGTTAAACTTTCATTTTAAATTTTAAGCTCCAGTCATGTTTGGCGAGATATCATAGATGGCCCCACATTATCGGCCCTTTTGCTTGAGCAACTGTTGAGGAATTGTATAATGGTCAGTATATTGACTTTCTGACGCACAAGCTCCCAGTGAAGATTCGAAAAATCGAAACTAATGACTCAACCCGATAATGCGTATCAATGATTTTCATTCACTATTTCGTCTGACGCATAACTGTCATCAGTATAAAAATCAGTCTTATAGATGGCATTTTTGCACAGTAAAACAATGAAACACTACTAAAGCTGGTTTCGCTGTGAAGGCTAACTTAGCCAATATTAGTATTTGAGATGAGATGATAGTAACTTTGAAATTTTCAAGTGATTTCAATATATCAGGTATTATCATTCGAGAAGAGAAGAGAATAAACTCAAATGATTTGATGGGGTGAAAAGTTTATAGGGATTGCAAGATATACACCAAACTGGGTTGGATAGATTTCTCATCCCACTGAGAGTTGTATTGCAGTAGAGAATGGATATTGCACTAGCGTGAGTTTCGATCCCAATGTCATTTTACTTTCTTTTACAGTCCGTAACTAGTGGATTTTCCTGAATGGGATCTGAAATTTTTTATTTCTAACACAAACTGCATCTCAGATCTGCAATGCGGTATATTACGCCTTCGATAAAGAACAAAAAATTTTAGCTCTGAAAAGTAGGTCTGAAATAGAAAGTTTCAATTTTGATTTTATCATGGAAAACAAAAAGTAAGGTCTAAAAATTAGATCTGACAAATCGTTTCTTAAATTATAAATTAAGCCTTTCGAGCCAACAAATTCACTTTTTTGCTGTTTTTGATTATACAATGGTTTTAGACTAATTAGAATTTGTCAAGTAACTGCTAGTAACTAGCAGAAGCTATAAAGTACAGAACTACCTAAAATAGCAAAAGTTGTGTCAAATTCATTCATATCATCATATCTCAAAAATTATTGGAAAATAAAACTTCAGATCTGAATTACGATCTGCAAAAACTCATTCCTAAGTTATCCAAACGTTATTTGAAATTTTAAAAACCTGTTTTAGTCTGAAAGTTAGTTGGGAAAAGATTATTTCAACTCTGAATTAGACGTTTTACCTGGTCAGGGAGAAGTGGCTAAAATACTTTTTTCTGGCATGATCGAGATTACTGACAAAGTAAATGATGATCGCACAAGGCAGACACTCGATGTTCTTTTTTCGAATTCCAGATCTGAAATGGGTTGTTAAATGTCAAAATAACTCTTGGATAATTCGAAAATGGATGATTTCAGATCTTATTCAAGTTCTGAAGTTTTGTTTTACATGGTTATTTTTGATCTGAAGATATGAATATTTCGGACACAACTTTTGCTGTTTCAGTTGTTTTTGTACTTCATAGCTTCTGCTAATTAGTAGCAGGTACTTGGCAAAATCTCTATCCGGAGATTGCTATAATATGTATACCCAAGAAAGAAATAAATATCAAAAAAAAGCATAAAATTAAAAACTTTGATAGGTCTTTTATCAGATCTCAGATCTGAAACTTTGAGTTTCATGCTTATTTCAGATCCGAAGTGTTTAAATTTTTATGTAAGATGTGTAATACCGAATTTCAGATCTGAGAACCAACTTATCTAGAAATAAAGAACTTTAAGCCTTTGTATAGAATATCCAATAGGGCTGCTTACTGTTTTTGGTAAAATCGACTGAAAAAAGAACATTTTGTCGAAATGACTTGGTGCTAGTTTGGTAAAAGTCATAACAACTCTGTTTCGGCGGTTCAAGTTAACTCGTTGACGATGATATCATAATGAAATGTGCTGCTTGGAGTTCAAATTCTCTCTGTCAAATTCCTCTTTGCCAAGTACATGAAAAAGTTGGTGCGCGTCTGCTGGAAGCTTGCTGGTCAGTTTTCGGGAAACAGTTAACACAAGATGAGAAACAGTTTACAATTAATCAATTCCGATTTATATAAAAAACAGTTCTTCTAACAATAATTGATTAGTTATTCGGCTAGACAAACCGTTAATGTCAGAGATAGCTGCCTTCGGCTACCATGACAAATAAGCTTGCTCTAAATCAGTTAGATAAGCCACTGTTTTCCAAGTGTTTGTAACATTACTTACTGACTTTTTCACACATCGGTATCTCAGTCAATAAATTTCTTTTAGAGCTCGGGGTCACTCAATGGCATAGTCCTCACAACAGATTTAGTTTAAGAATAGGAACCTTGTGGAAATTAATACATAATTTTATACCTAATTTCCTTGAATTGTTTGTTTTTTGTTGACAGATGGGTGCTGTAGTTACCAAGTGACAACTTACCTTCAATACGGACAGCGGTTTGGACTATCTCCGGAAGAATACTTCAACAAGGTCTACAACATGGGGGTAGTTGAAGACAAACAGTTGGTTTATCTCAAGGTTACTATCAAACACGGATATTTTGGGCTAAAATTTTCCCTCGCATATTCAAACGTATATTTTTGGCACGGTAAACATAACTAAAGGAAGTTAATTATCTTCATTTTCAAGCTGAAAGCTAAAGCAATCAGTTACTATTTCAATTACCAATCAGTAGCGGATTTAGAGGGGGCTTAAAACCCCACCTCAGGGTTTCGACCCCCTGCCGACCCAAAGGGTCCCCCCTTCGTCCTATTTTGAGACATCGAGGTTTGGCTGACAAGCCCTGAAATGTTCAAAAGGCGCCGTCGGCGCCAATATATTCAAATTTTGAGAGGGGAGCTTGCTTCGAACAAACGCATTTTGTTTTGGTCAAAATTTTCCGAAAAGTGCCTAGTGCCTAAAAAACGCTTTTTGGGCTTGTTTTTTTTTCAAAATTTTGTTTGGTCCGACAAAATGAAGTTTCGAAAAAAACAGGCCAAGAAAGCGTTTTTCTGGCACTTTTTGGACAATTTTTTGGAACACATTTTATGATACTTGTTTTACGCTACAAAATCGAAATTATTAGATGAAGTTTTTTTTTAAGTTTAACCAAAAATTGATTTTCTGAGCTCTCCCATATCACGATAGAGGCTTTTTTTAGATCGAGGTTAGGTTTAACATTTTTGGAGACAATCCGTTTTTTTGCATGGTTTCAATAATTTGGTATTGGCCGGCGTCATGTTTTCTGGACCCTCCTATTAAAATCAGCGTGTTATTAAAATAGACTGCGAACTTTCATTTTAAAGGAACAACTCAAAACTAATGTCAAGTTTTACAATGCTCAAACGTGGCGTGATTTCCGGTTGATTCGATATTTTACGAAACCCTAATCTCTCTCATGTACATACTTTTAAGGCAGTCTATCCAATTTGTTTCCAAAAGAATTGTATGTGTCTCTTAGACGCTTTTGTATTTGAAGCTGTGGTTTAGTCTATACTGTAATTGGAGTGTCTCTCTTCTCTCTCTCTCTCTCTGTGTGTGTGTTTGTGTGTGTTTTTCTTTCTCTTTTTCCTAGTTTTGAATTTATAAAACATTGAAAGTTGCCTGGAAGCGTGTAAAAAAACGGATGTGATTTGATTTTTTAAAGTATCGAAATCAATTAAGCATTTGATAAATATGAACATACAAAACTGAGCAGTTTACCACTATTTTTCAATTTCTATTCAATAAGTACAGTGAATCAGTATTTGTTCAAATATTAATCGTTAAATTAGTGAATTGTTATTTAAATTGTTAGCTAAAATGTGTATTATGGCACATTTATTTTTTAAGACGGCGTTTTCTTGTAATGAAAAAATGTTCGACTCACATATCAGCAAGTTCTAAAAACAATAGTATGTTTATTGCTGCAACTACTCTACCCTTACACAAAGTAAAAAAAAAGATAATACATTTCAGATGTATCAAGCTAAACTTCGGAATTTTTTTAGCTGAAAGTTTTATGTTTCACAAAAAAGCGAAGTTTTAAAAGGATTGACTCGCTTGCTTGTCTTTCGAATTTTTGTTTTTTGTAAAAATTCACTTTGGTTTTTTTAAGTGAAAAGCACTTACAAATTTGATCTGAAAATCAGACAAAACTATATTTTGTGATTTGAACTTGTCCTCTTCAATGTATCTGATAAAAGGATAAAGTTTTCTTTCAAATTGGTGAAAGTTACAAAAACCTCGAGAGTTCCACTTTCTTTTACCAATTTGCACCTCAAAAGCGATTGTTTTTAACAATTTATTAGACCTCAGTGTAGTCGCTAAAATGTTATACTGAAAATAAGACCAAAAGGGCAACAAAAACTTTGAGTTTTGTTTTGTTTTTAATTATTTTTTAAAACCTTTTTTTTCTATGGAAACACTGTTTTATATGTCTTAGTTGATTTTTTTGAATTATAATTCTAATTTGAAAATTTTGTTGCGATAATCAGAAACGATCTGTTAAAGGCAGATTTTTTTTTCAAGATTTGCCCAAAAAAATTTTGTTCTGGAATGAAAAAATTCTTAAAAAATCAGTTTTGTTTTTCTCTGATCTTCACTCATGTTTTGTTCAAAAAGTATGTTCTCAGATTGCTTTTCAGTGTATGAAAATTCAACTAAACCCCAAATTTTAAAAAGTTTTGTCGGTAATGGTTGTGATTTCGCATGCTCTATTAAAGTTGGTTGTTTTTGTATGGAAATATCGTTTCCATAAATTGCACCATTTATGGTGCGACGTATGGTTTGCATGGTGAAAAAAAATTTAAATCTAACCAAAGTGTATTGTGTACTAAGTATACGTTTTCTCAGTAACTTTTGTCAATTAACTTATTAATTTCACGGTTTTCCATAGAATTTTTTTTTTCGAAAAATCTCTTCCATTTGTAGCACAATATATGTTGCAAAGTATGATTTGTATGGTGAAAATTTTTCATATCTTATAAACAACTTGCATAATGATGAGAAACCGTTTTATTCAATCCGTTAAAAAGCCATTTTGAGGGTTTTCGAAACGAACGTATGTGCTAAGCATGATTAGTCATTTTCCATACAAATCATGCATTGATGTGTATGGTTGAGCATTATCTTCTATGGTGGGTAACCCGGGTTTGATCCAATAATTTCATTTTTTTCGCAGTGCAAAACAATTATGTTAGTTATGTGAACAACACAAAAAATTTCAATCGCTTGATGAAACAATAAACTGTTTGTCAGGCTCGATGGAATCAATTTTTCTGCATGAATATCATCGAGCAAGTTGGATTCGGCCGCGGCGTGCTTCGGATAGTGGGTGTCAACGGCCAGAGGGCTCGCAGCAAGTTCATGATGCCCCCTTTGGGCGAAGCAGACGGCTTCTTCAAGTTCCCAGCCGAACATCTGCAAAGTAGATTAACATTCGAGTGGTTCCTTTACAATGTCATTTGCGAAGAGAAAAGCTGGCTCTGTGTGAATGGGCGGAATGGTACAGCGAACCGTGCTGGTGGTTTGACGCCGGGTCAACTGAATCGACGACGAATGCTAACTTTTACCAAAGTCAACAGCAATGTGACTAAAAATTTGTTCAATTAAATTTATTTTTATTTTTTTTCATTGAATTTTGATTATCTGAAAATTTCAAGAAACAAATAGTTGTTGTAATAGTCGAAGTATCCTATCATTTCCGAGCTTTTTATTTTTATTGATATTTTCTAAAATGTGAGGGCAAAAATGGAGCGTTCTTCATTGAACTACCTATGATTGCTCAACAAATTTATTTAACAAACTTAAGAAAAAGTTTTTCTGGTGCGAGATTCGCAATAAATGAGATTAGAGGAAAGCATAAATTTCTTTCGAAAAAGGGGTTTCAAAGAGATTCAAAAACTTTTTCAAGCTTTTTTTTTTAAATCAACCAGATTGGTTTTTGAGCGCACCAAAATAGCAATAACGCCTCAAAGCCATTCGATATAAACTCACTTGATGCTCTTCTTTTCTATACTTCAGAATATGAAAAAAGATAGGTCGAAGAATTTTCATTTATGAATTTTTGTCTTTATCTACCGCATGTATTCCGTCGTACCCAAAATATAAGAATATAATCTGGATCTTATTAGGTTAGATAACGATTGGTCAGTATAAAGAAAACGTTAGATGTAGAACAATCTAGTTTAAAAAACAAAGGGAGCCAGTTGGTGCGCAAGAAGCACAGACTGTTCCGACCACAATAAATTAGGAACTCAATTAAAATAAAAACCACATAACTCACTTAGATATAAAAAGTACCACAATTGAAAACCACATAATATATACAAAAAATTGGTCGCTTGGAAAATGATACGATCACCGAAGAAACCTGTAGTTTTTTACTCATGAGTTCGAGGGTGATTGGGATTTTGTTTGCGGATTTAGGGGGGGGGGGGGGGGGGGGGGTTCGGGCGCTCTCCTCAGGGATTCGACTTGTTCCCCTCTTTTTACTATTTTGAGACATCTATATTTGGTGGCGGACCCTAAAATTTTTCTAAAGGCGCATTCGGCGCTAATATATACTAATTTTGAGGTGGGATAGCACATTTTTGGGCCTGTTTATTAAATTTTTGCGTGCGGCGCAGAAAATTTGACCAAAATGGGGTCTTTTTAGTGCTTTGGGAGAGCTCGGAAATTCACTTTGGTCGACCTAAAAAAAGGTCGATCAATTTTTCGAAAAATTTTTTGAAAATCCGCCCCTCCCCCTCGAGAAACTCCTAGATCCGCCCCTGATTCCTCACATAAAAATGTCCCGAATACAAAAACGATTTTGAATATAGACTTTTGAAGCATATATCTCAATTTCTTCCAAACTTGCGCAAATTCATCACTGATAGTCATACCTCAGAAACCAAACACGGAATTATAGCTCCCCGCAGGTAGTAGACAGATTGATAGGAACAATTCGGTATAAAATGTGACAAATCATTTCTCGGACGGAGATACTTTATGTGTGAAAATTAAACATCGAAAGGTTTTTTTTTTGGGTGCGCTTTTTAAGGTAATTTTTCATTGTTTTGATCATATGTTCAAATAATGACCTTGGCCTTGAAGCCACCAAATGCTTACAAAAAAAACAGTCATTACGTGAAAAAAAAAACTATAGATCAGTTGTTTATACTAATCGAATTGAGTCAAACTGTCATGGCAGCAGGAGGCAGTTCCGGCGAAAAACGGAACATTTTGTACTGGATTGAAAACATTTCCAAACAAAACAAAATGCCGTCAGGAAGTGAAAAACAAGGAAACACTTCTAATGCGTTCAACTCATTTAACGAGAAAGATGGGAATGACCTGAGAACAAAATATTGCTATGGAACAAGACGTTACCTGAGCCCATCTGGGAGAAGAGCGAGCCATCCACTGATTTAGCAAACCATGACGAAACCAACATTCCAGAGGATGCATCCCTAAGCTAATCTGGAGTTGGAACCGCTCAAAGCTCATAAAGCAAAACGACACAGCACGACAGCTGAACCAAATAAGCCATAAAGGAATCTTAACCGACATGACAGAAGAAGAAAAAGAAGAAGACAGTAGTGGTAACCAACAAGCCGAAATCAGAATAACCAATAAAGGAAAGAAATTGAAATTACCCCTTTTTTAAGTCAAAGCTTTTCGATGATTTTTTGAGATGAAAACGCAACTTACTATGGTGGCAAGGGTGCACTCAGTTTGATAAACTCATGCAGACATCACTTATTTTTTATTGGTTTTCAAAGTGGAGGTATTATATATACTCTAATTGCCTATTCAGTAATCAGTATCCAAGCGTTGGAAAAGTTGGACTCAATAATTGATTTTGAGGGAAATCCACCTAAAATGAAACTGCATAGGTTTACTATCTTAAAAAAGTTTCGCCAAAAATCAGCGACAATTACATTATGTCTTTCATTAAGTTTTATGATCGCAGTATTAGAGAGAACATAAAATCAACAACCAATCGTCGAGTTATTACGCAACTAGGTGAACTTTTCAAACGAAAGGCAAAAATAATAATAATTGTAGTTCCTGCGAATCGCAGAGGAGCTATCAGTAGGCCTTAACAGTCCTGTCGAGGATAGTCCATTTGTATTATAGTCGAGGATAGTCCAAAATTTTTGTACAAATGACACTAAAGATAATGAGAAGTAACTCGCTCGACCGGAACAAGCATTGAAAGCCAAAATAAAAAAAATATATACGGTCAGCCTGTTGAAGAAGAATCCGGCGTTAAAAAATCAAATTATATTTAAATCGAAAGTCACAAAATTAAAAAAGTTAAACGAGAACTATCAGAGGTTGAACAGAGTTCAGAACCTGTGAAAGACTCGCTAATTATATTATGTCCCCACCATCTCTAAATCTGCATGCTTTTTCATTTAGCCACGAGGAGTTGCAAAAGGGCTCTGCACGCGAATAACGCACAGAAAGTATTTTTACAGTCGGATAAATTCACCGGCGCGCATATATCTGGGCAATTTTTTTCGTAATTTTTTTTCCAAATACATTCGAAGTGAAGTGAAACCAACATGAATTTAAAAACGTTATGTCTCTAAATTTGTGAAGTGTTTTGTACGGTAAGACTTTTAGTGGAGTCTCAATTACACAAGCCCGGGCCCAGGTAAAAGAATTGTAATTCCAATTTCACCATCAAAGTTTAGCTTATTTTGACCTTCTTGATCAGAAGTATTGGAACCAGATCTAAACTAGTATTTATCATTGGCTATTATTATGATATTTTATCTCTATAAAATATTAAATACTAACCAATCATACTCCATCAAACTAACAACCCACCTATTTGTAAGTGTTGAAGCTACTTGTAGTTTCAACACCAGAACAATTTGAATTAAACTTAGATAACGGTTGTTCTTAGAGTACGGTTGTTCAAAATCTACTTTATTTTTGTACAATTTTGGGATTCTTTTATAACATCTTTTGTCTTCAAAAATATATAAGGGTGATACTTTTTTTTTGGTACAAGTGTAATACCATAGTATGCTTCTTTCGTAGTCAATAAAATTTGATCTTTTACCTGATAATAAATATCCTGCATAAGGGATTTTAAGTACTGCTAGTGCAAGTGATTGGAGAAATTGTGTTCTTTCAAGTTCGCATAATTGATGTAGTGTACCAAGTTCTGTTAAAGACATTTCTTGAAAAATTCTACTTATTGTATAGTGTAGTTTCATGTCTAGGTGTTGTATGTCATAGTGAATTGCGCCAAAATGAGTGTTGTTCATTACTGATAGTTCTCGTAAACGTGTACTATCTTTGTCCAGTGGTTTTATTTTTCCACCAATGTTTCCTGTGTTTTTAAGGAGGTTTACTGGGATATCTGAATTTGAGTGATGTTGGTTGAGTGATGTGTTGCCCTTGGATGTATGATTAATTTTCCTGTATTCATGTCGAAACCTTGTTCGTATTCGACAAGAATTTCTGAATATTGTGTTTTATAAAGTGGTTTGTTATATTTACATGCAAGTTCCGTTTCTGGGTAACTTTGGAAACGTGTCAATTTTTTCTATATTATGAATGTTTCTAAAATTATAATTTCTCTGTCTGAAGTGATCAGGGTTTACATCTTCATAAGGTAATGATTCTATAAAATGTTTTTGAGGATTTTTTATCAACTACTTTGAAATGCTACTTGAAATAATGTATATGTGTCCTCGGGAAACCAAACAATTGTTGCTTGTGTCGTGTAGTAGGATCGCAGTATCCTTGGTCATTTTTGAAAGGGAGTCTGTTTCCTTGATAAATTTTAGTGTCATTTTTTAAATCTCGCGTTAATTGTACTTTTTCAAGTTGTATTTTCCAATCAAAAAACGATATTTTTTGGTATCCTTTACTTTTAGTGTCGGCTTTACATTTTGAGGAGTTGTTTATTCCAATGAGTGGTTTTCAATTTTTATCATGAAAATCGTAAGTTAATCTTCCATGTGCTCCGTGGAAGGGAAATTTGTCATCTAGTTTTATGTGACCTTGGTATCTCTCATGTTCGGCTTGATGTGCAGAGTCTGGGAAAACTTGAAAGTTTACCAATTTTCTGGTTGTGCCTTTGTTTGATGTGATTTTTAATCGTCCAAAATAGTTTTTACAATCGTCAGGGGTGAGATGTAATAGTCTTTTGATGTTACTTTGGCAGAAAAATTCATGATCCAGTCTATTTGTATTTCCGTATGAGACTTGAGAGCAATCTACTTTCTTTTGGGAAAATATTGCTGTGAATTTATATCCTGTTAGTGTCGTAGCTCGTGCTTTTGAGTAAAGTGTGGCCATTATGTTTGTTGTTTCTTTTGATTGTGGTTCGGATTAGCACTGAGTGACTTAAATTAAGAAAGAGAAAGGTCTGGAAAGTTAGTATCTTTGGAAGATACATGTGTATGATAGTCCTGAGTATGGATTAAAAAAAATTATATATACAATTTGTCTTTTTTGTGTATCTATCCTATTTGTAGATTTTTTCATGGATGGTGAATTATTTCATTTAATTTTACTGTGATTTCAAATTTCAGTGTCAGATTGTCTTGTGTAAGTACTTGTATGTTACGCTCTTGTATATCTTTGTGGATATCTTGTCGATA